CTCCTGGAACGATTCCACCAGTGTGGCCTCCGAAAAATCCTGCAAATCTCTTGGGAAGACAGGTAGACAAATGTCAGCGTACTGGAAGAAGCAAAGACCACTAGCATTGAAGCGATGCTCCTCTGCCATCTACTCTGCTGGACTGGCCACGTTGTCCGAATGCCCGATCACCGTCTCTCAAAGCACTTACTCTACTCCGAACTCAAGAATGGGAAACGGAATGTTGATGGACAGGAAAAGAGATTTAAAGATGGGCTTAAAGCCAACCTCAAAAAATGTGGCATAGACACCGAGAGAGAACTGGGAAGCCCTGGTCCTTGAGTGCTCTAACTGGAGGTCAGCTGTGACCAGCAGTGGTGCAGAATTTGAAGAAGCACGAATGGAGGTTGAAAGGGAGAAACTTGCCGAGAGGAAAGCGCGTCAAGCCAACCCTGACCGGGACTGCCTTCCATCTGGAAACTGATGTCCTCACTGCAGGAGAACATGCAGGTCAAGAATAGGGCTTCACAACCACCTATGGACCCACCGCCAAGACACCACATCTGGAAAACCATCATCCTCGAGCTATGAGGGATTGCCTAAGTTTTGTTGTTGTTCATTTGTTCAGTCATTTCCGACTCTTCGTGACCTCATTACCAGCCACGCCAGAGCTCCCTGTTGGCTGTCACCACCTCCAGCTCCTTCAAGGTCAATCCACTTCAAGGATCCCATTCATCCATCTTGCCCTTGGTCGTCCCCTCTTCCTTTTTCCTTCCATTTTCCCCAGCATAATTGTCTTCTCTAAGCTTTCCTTTCTTCTCATGATGTGGACAAAGTACTTCATCTTTGCCTCTACTATCCTTCCCTCCAATGAGCAGTCAGGCTTTATTTCCTGAAGTATGGACTGGTTGGATCTTCTCTCAGTCCAAGGCACTCTCAGAACTTTCCTCCAACACCACAGTTCAAAAGCATCTATCTTCCTTCGCTCAGCCTTCCCTATGGTCCAGCTCTCACATCCGTAGGTGACTATGGGGAATACCATGGCTTTGACTATGCGGATCTTTGTTGCCAGTGTGATGTCTCTACTCTTCACTATTTTATCAAGATCGGACATTGCTCTCCTCCCAAGAAGTAAGCGTCTCCTGATTTCATGGCTGCAGTCTGCGTCTGCAGTCATCTTTGCACCTAGAAATACAAAGTCTGTCACTGCCGCCATGTTTTCTCCATTTCCCAGTTGCCAATCATTCTTGTTGCCATAACCTTGTTTTTTTTAATGTTCAACTGCAACCCAGCTTTTGCACTTTCTTCTTTCACCTTGATTAGAAGGCTCCTCAGCTCCTCCTTGCTTTCGGCCATCAAAGTGGTGTCATAGCCTAAGTAAGTAAGTTAAAAAACCAAGGATGGAACATCAATGTTGCAATCCCAGGTGACAGCAGGACTGAAGAGAAACAACTGGAAAAGTTGATACGATATGAGGATTTCAAGATCAAACTGCAAAGATTCTGGCACAAGCCAGTCAAGGAGGTCCCAGTGGTGATTGGCACACTGGATGCAGTGCCCCAAGACCTTGGTCTGCACTTAAACACAATCAACACTGACAAAATTACCATCTGTCCGCTGCAAAAGGCCACCCTACTGGGATCTGGATGTATTTGCCGATACATCACACAGTCCTAGACACTTGGGAAATGTCTGAAGCGGGATCCAATACAACAGCCAGCATGGGGATCTTGTTTGCTGTGAACTAATCTTGCTGTGTTTCAAATAATAATAACAATAATAACTTTATTCTTGTATCTCGCCACCATCTCCCCAAAGGGACTCGGGATGGCTCACACAAGGCACAAGGTGCCTGAAACAAGCCATAACATAAAACACAATTATAAAAAACAATGGAATAAAACATATACACATGTAACAACAAGATAAAACTCAGAATAAAACAGTGTACATCCATCAATAGTGATAGCTAATGTAAACATGGCCAGGCTGTAAACAATAGGGCCAAGGAATGGGTAAAGTCCAGGGGTGTAACCATGGGATAAGGGCATGGGATAAAGTGCAAAGCTGCATAATGAATAACATAAATCAACCAGGGACTAGGCATCCTCAAAAGCTTGTTTGAATAACCATTTATTATTATTATTATTATTATTATTATTATTATTATTATTATACCTCACATTAGCATACAATTTATATTATATTATATTATATTATATTGTTGTTGTTCATTCGTTCAGTCGTCTCCGACTCTTCGTGGCCTCATGGACCAGGCCATGCCAGAGCTCCCTGTCAGCCGTCACCACCCCCAGCTCCTTCAAGGTCAGTCCAGTCACTTCAAGGATGCCATCCATCCATCTTGCCCTTGGTCGGCCCCTCTTCCTTTTGCCTTCCACTTTCCCCAGCATAATTGTCTTCTCTAGGCTTTGCTGTCTCCTCATGATGTGGCCAAAGTACTTCAGCTTTGTCTCTAATATCCTTCCCTCCAATGAGCAGTCGGGCTTTATTTCCTGGAGGATGGACTGGTTGGATCTTCTCACAGTCCAAGGCACTCTCAGAACTTTCCTCCAACACCACAGTTCAAAAGCATCTATCTTCCTTCGCTCAGCCTTCCCTAAGGTCCAGCTCTCACATCCGTAGGTTACTACAGGGAATACCATGGCTTTGACTAGGTGGATCTTTGTTGCAAAATACAAATTTTGTCACTGCCTCCACGTTTTCTCCCTCTATTTCCCAGTTGTCAATCATTCTTGTTGCCATAATCTTGGTTTTTTTTATGTTTAACTGCAACCCAGTTTTTGCGCTTTCTTCTTTCACCTTGAATAGAAGGCTCCTCAGCTCCTCCTCGCTTTCGGCCATCAGAGTGGTGTCATACCCTGCTTTATGTTCCTGAAGAAGACTCAAACCTGCTTAACATAAAAGCATTAGCATACAATTTAAATTATTATAATATTATTATTATCATTTCTTCTTCTTCTTCTTCTTCTTCTTCTTCTTCTTCTTCTTCTTCTTCTTCTTCGACCAATTTAAGGACCAATTTAAGGCAGCTCTGAAGGCCAAAAGGTGCGGCAAGCTGTCCAAAGGAACTTCTTTCTGCAAGACAATGCCTCCGCTCACACTGCACAAGCGACCATTGCAAAACTGGTGAAGCTAGGCTTTCAGCTGGTTGACCACCCACCTTATTCACTGGATCTAGCTCCCTCCAACTATCATCTTTTTCCAAACCTAAAAAGAACACCTCAAGGGTACCAAATTTCACACAATTTCTGATGCGATGGCTGCTACAGATGACTGGTTTGAGACACAACCAAAATCCTTCTTTTTGCAAGGCTTACAGAACTTGGAATACCGGTGTAAGAAGTGTGTTGATATCATTGGAGAGTATGTGGAATAAATGTAAAGTTTCGTCTTCCTTTATTGTTCATTCGTTCAGTCATCTCCGCCTCTTCGTGACCTCATGGACCAGCCCACACCAGAGCTCCCTGTCGGCCGTCACCACCCCCAGCTCCTTCTTCCTATCTTATTTTTTTCTGGTTAAAGCCAAAGACTTATCAGGAGTCCCTCGTATATGCCTAACTTTTAGAAAAGCATGACCTTTTAGAGCCAAAACCCCTTTTGAGTAGAATCTTCTCAAATGGTATACAACGAAATATAAATATGCAAGGCAATTGGCTTCACTTGTTAGACTGAATAACCTGTTGTCTCTGATCTGTGAGGAAACAGAGAATATGCCAGTGCATAAAAATAGCAGTTCTTCAGAAGTGTTTCTCAGTACACAAAAATAAATGTCCTCTCCCATAAAAATAACTTGTTTATATGTATTATACACTCATGAGGCAAAATAAGGTAGACTTTGGTAAAAATAACATATTTGGTTTACTCATGACCTTTATGTGCACAGCATACACAGGTACACAGCTTATCAGTCAGTTACAGATACGTTTGAGATAGTTTTTGTGCCATCCGGTCAGAACATCTCTCTCACAATAAACAGCAGACAAGTGTTTGCAAGTCTGTGATCTGAGCAGTCCCAAAGTCTAAAGCAGCCTGTGCTCCATACTCATCTCAGAGTGGGTTACATGGTCTGCAGCCTCTCCCACAACTTCTCAGGAAAAAAAACATAGAGCAAGGAAAGAAAGCTGCATATCAGAACATACATACAATAAGTATGCAACAGGATTATAAACAAATGACTGGAGGAGGCTTGAAGAAGGTTGTAATTTCCAACAATAACTGTCAGAAAGAAAGTTGGAAGACACGGCATATCCTTGACATATCCTCCTTTGCCTTCTACCTTTTCCCTTTCTGTTCCTCCTCTTCCTTCTTGTCCTTAATATTGGTTGTATCTTGGAAAATTCTTAATTCTTAATAACAAAGAATTCCAATGGGCAACTTCCCAGGTTTTGGGGGAGTCAGTGACGATGAAGGCACTCGGTTTGTTTGGAAGCAAATCCAACACAATCAGAATGGAGCGATCATTCATCCTCAGTGCCTTGTACCAGCCACGCACGAATCTCCGAAGCGTTTGTGCTCTTCTGTTTGCCCCAATGGAACAAAACATACTAACACAGTTATTTGCCCAGTAATGTTTCCAATGTGATTTACAGTATGTTCCCTGCAGAACAAAGTGCTGAGGTTTTGGTGATTCTCGTCCATGTAGCTATGCAACTCATAATACACCATCCGTTTCCATATTACCTGGGAGCAAGTCCCATTCAAGTGAGTGGGCTTCCTTCCAAGCCCATAGGCTTCTGATTCTGCGGGAAAAGCCCAAACCCAACTTCATTGCGGAGAAGGAAGGAAGAAGCCAAGGCAAACGCATCAAGACACAGATGCTTCCAGTTGGCAAGAAAGTCCAAACTGTTTCTTGGTTTTGTTTCACAGCTGTTTGCAAACAGGTCCCTTTCCGCACCTCATATTTAACCTGGGCATAAAACTTACTGAGACTATAGGATCCTTCATTTCAAGGATGGTAAAGCACTGAGGCTAATCAAGTGGCTTGATGTCTTCACTTGCAGGAGGGATCCCGATGCCGCGACTTGCCGCCTACGGATCCTCCAAAGCCGCCCTGTCCATGTTTTCTGGGGTCATGAGGCAAGAACTGTCAAGCTGGGGCATTAAAGTGTCTGTCGTTCACCCGTCAGGCTTCAGGACATGTAAGTCGCGGCAGTTTATTTCCTTCTTGAGCTCGTATGTATGTATGTATGTATGTATGTATGTATGTATGTATTGTGGGCTCCTGGTGCTTAAAGTATCAGTGACAGCCTCCATGCTAGAGGAAAGGGTGAATCCGGGATTGTGGTGCAGCTGGCTGAGTGTCAGCTGCATTAAGATCACTCTGACCAAAAAGGTCATGAGTTCGAAGCCAGCCCAGGTTGGAGTGGGTTTCCAACCAATTGTGTGTAGCCTGTTGTCGACCTTTGCAACCCGAAAGACAGTTGCATCTGTCAAGTAGGAAAATAAGGTACCACCTTAAAGTGTGGGGAGGCTAAATTAACTAATTTATGAGGCCATAAAAATTCAGCAAAAGCATGCGGGGAATGCGGAAGTGCTTCATCAGTGTCGCAGATGGACGATGAAAGCGACAGCTCCCCTGGCGGCCAGAAAAAGTTAAATAGCCTCTGTGTATGTCAAAATTGGCATTGAATGTTTGCCATATATGTGTACACTGTAATCCGCCCTGAGTCCCCTGCGGGGTGAGAAGGGCGGAATATAAAAGCTGTAAATAAATAAATAAAAAATAAATAATCCCACCTCTTAGCTTGAACTTCTAGTCCTAAGCATTTCAGATAAGGTGTACTTGAACTTGTGTCCACAAGAGCACCAACCCATATTTTCTCACTTTATTGTTCTCAGTCGAATTTGGGGTTGAGTGGAACCCCTGGTGGCACAGTGGGTTAAAGCCCTGTGCTGGCAGAACTGAAGACCGACAGGTCACAGGTTCAAATCCGGGGAGAGGTGGATGAGCTCCCTCTATCAGCTCCAGCTCCTCATGCGGGGACATGAGAGAAGCCTCCCACAAGGATGATAAAACATCAAATCATCCGGGCATCCCCTGGGCAACGTGCTTGCAGACGGCCAATTCTCTCATAACAGTTGCGACTTGCAGTTTCTCAGGTCGCTCCTGACATGACAAAAAAAAATTGCTCTTTTGTTTTCTTAATAATGTAATGCAAGAAACACAATGTGTGTACAACGATGGCATTAAAAAGAAAAGTGTCCTTTTCTCAACTGCCGAGGTGGACAGTTGAAGGCCAAAGGAGTGTGACTTGCCCACGACCCCACAGTGAGACTAAAACAAGCTTTCTAAAGCCCCTTCCACACAGCTGAATAAAATCCCACATTATCTGCTTTGAACTGGAATATATGGCAGGGTGTACTCATTTCAAAGCAGATATTGTGGGATTTTCGGCCTTGGTATTATGGTTTATATGGCAGTTGAGACAAGGACACTTTTCTTTTTGATGCCTTTGGTGTACACACATTGTGTTCTTGCATTACATTATTAAGAACATTGTGTATAAAGCTACCTTCAGGATATAAATATAAGGATCATAAAGGAATTTTGTGCCTAGCTCTGGGTCTCCTCATCAACCCGTAGTCCAAAACACTTCTGGACTGAAGCATTTCAGATAAGGCATACTTGAACTTGTACCTACAAGAGCTCCAACCTATATCTTCTCTCTTTATCATTCTCAGCTGAATCCAGATGTCATCACATCAGATCTATTTTCAATCCAGTTTCTGCCTCCTGCAGAATTCTGGATCTTGTAGTTTAGGGAGGGGCCTTTAAACAGCTCAGCTCAGCTCAGCAACAGCTCCTGGACCTCACTGAACTACAAACCCCAGAATTTTGCCAGAGGCAGAAACCAGATTTAAAGTGGATCCAAGCTCTGTCTGTGATGAGGTTGTGGGATTGAGTTGAGCAGATATCACAGCTCCTTTGTGTTTTAGTCTCACATGGTTTGTGGATTCTTGTATGGTAGGCGTTGGGCTGGACGGTCCTTGTGGTCTCTTTCTCCAAATTACAGAAAGAGTTGACCACCGACTTTCATGAAAGAAAGCTCCTTCAACGTTGAGGCTCAAACCAAAAGTGGATCACTTTCTCATTGACCCGAGAGCCACAAATAGGGATAAATGGTCTGAAGTAGGCATTGTAAATAGCCTCACATTCCTGGGATTCAAACCACAAGGATGTCCCAAACGTGCTTGGGCTCTTTGGGATCCCAGGTGAAATGTGTCCAAAATACTTCTGCTCCGAAGCATTTCAGATACTAAGGGATACTTAACACTTGTAGGTACAAGAGCTCCATCCAGTACTTTCTCTTGTGCCAGTCTTGTCAAAGTGACCTTCCCAATTAAGGAGGCCCAGGTAAGGCATTCATGCATTCATACCTGCTGATCATTCTAGGTATCCAGGGCAACCCGGAGATCTGGAAAAAGGAGGAGCAGAGCCTTTTTGAGAGCCTGACTCCTGAGGTGAGGAAGGACTACGGCGATGACTACATCTGTTCGATGAAGACCTTGCTCATGTACATGCCTTCTTTCTCCGCCTCTGATTTCTCACCCATCCTGCATGACATCTTGCACGCATTGCTGGCCATGCGTCCCTACGGTCTGTACACGCCAGGGAAGAACGCCTACAAATATCTCCTCATCTTTTGCTATGCGCCTCTGTGGTTTTATGACTTTTTCATCGGCAAATGCATGAGCTTGCCCAGCATGCCCAGCGCTCTCAGAGTCGCCAAGACTGACACCAAGAACTAGGAGCCAAACCCGGAGCGGAAGCCTTTCTCTAAACTTCAGTGGATAATCTATTAGAAAGCCATTTCTCCGTGACCTTTGTTTGCCAAGTTAATCTGTCAAGTTGTGGCTGGTGGGGTTTCAGGAGGGGTTGTTAATGCTCTGCTGCAAAAACTCATTGGTTGGTGTGGAACAAAGAGGAAGTGTTTCGCTTTACGACAAGTATTTGCTTATATTCGTGCCTTGTGTATTTTAATTTTCTTTCATTTTTTTTATATCTTCTACTATCTTTTTGGGTTTAGTATTTTTTTTCCCTGAGCTTATTGGTATTTGATGAGCACTTGCTGAAATGCCAATAAATGGCTTCTTTTTCCAATGTCTTCATGGCTCTCATTATATTCTTCTTCCTTTCAGTTGCCCTCATTGATACACACATACTTCCAAATCCTTTGGCTACATACTATTTGAGAACATTCTGTTTACATGCTCCTTTTCATGTGTTGGGATTTGTTGGGAACCTGAACTGTTGATATCGAGCTACTTTTTGGTGGGGCCTCCCTGAGAGAGAGAGATCCCTGAGGACTGCACCAAAGAGAGTCCTTAATAAACCTTGGTGAGGCCAGAGAAAGCCAATTTCAGTGATAAAAATATTAATATTTAAAATAATAAATCCTCACCAAAGTGGAAGAAGTTTTTCAAGCGACCGAGGTGTTTTATTAGCGATTCAGCTGATGCATTGCAGGAATCATTCCACCACAAGCATGCCGGAGCACAGTGATGCAGGCATATTTATACAATTTTTGAAAACCCAGAGTTCAAACTTCCCGCCCCGGCTCCTCTGATGTTCCCCGCTGTGATTGGGCAACAGGGCAGGCAGCTGGGGAGGAGCCTCCCATCCCCTGGGCTCCTGGACCAATCAGGGAGCTTCAGGGGCGTGCTGGATCCAAGGGGGAGGGCTCCTGTCGCCCGCCGGCCAGCGAATCAGAAGAGGGGAGGCGGGACGACAGAACACAAAGAGAGTTCATGAATGGGTCAATGGAAACTGGCCATGTGCTCAGCGAAACAAAGGAAAAATGTCTCCAGCCGATGCAGCTTAATGTCCTTTGAGGGGTTTTGGTGAGGGAAACAAACAGGATCAGGCCAAGCGGACCTCGGGGGGGGGGGGGGATCAACGCTGCCCTTTGTAAATCAATCATAATGTCCGTATTCCAAATAGACTTCCTCATCTCACTGGACCAACTCCGAGGGCGAGACAGAGGAAACCATAAATGGCTATATTGTCCATGCCTTATGAGTCAATCAAAAATGAGTTCCGAGGGAGGCAGGGGGTCTCCCTCGGGCATTTCCACATTTCCTGGTCACTTTTAGTAGGGCAAAAGTCAAGGGGGAAAGGGGGAAACAAACTACATTTCATACAATAATTTCTTATACAAAGTTCATATAAAATTTCCCTTCCCACCCCACATCTTTATTATTTTATTACAATATTGATTTATTAAAAGAACTGGAAATCCCATGCCCCTGGGGAAGGTTTGTGGAAGCGGAGGTGGCTTGCAGTCCAAGTCAGGCAGCAAAGAGTTATTTCTCTTGGTAGAAGTCAGCGGATGGGCGCTGAGTTGATAGATAACATGATCCATCGCTCAGTCCTTGGGGGAACTACAACTCTCACAAAGGGCAGAAGTCCCAAGATCCAGCCATTTCCCAAAAGCCTCGTGGGGTCCTTGTTGTTGTCAGTGCCTTGGCAATGTGACCAAGACTAAACCAATAAAAGAATAAAAGAATAAAAGAATAAAAGAATAAAAGAATAAAAGAATAAAAGAATAAAAGAATAAAAGAATAAAAGAATAAAAGAATAAAAGAATAAAAATAAATAAAAGTAAATATATTGACCCTTGTTGTGTAGTCTGGTGCCCTTGCCCTTTGCAGAACTATAAGTCACTATCCCTTATTTGGGTGGGGGGGGGGGTGCTCGACATCACTGTTAGGCTCAAAAACAACTCTCAGTTGGGGTGATTCCATCATAAATATAGCAGAGTACCAGAAGTAAACTTCATAAACGGCAGTGTGGTGAAACTAGGATAAGCTTTTGTTCTTAGGATGGCTCAGGATTGCAGAATCAGAACTTTAGGTTCAAAAGTATTCGTTAAAGTAAAAGAAAGGCATTACTGATAGAAAAGGTCTTAGAGTGAACGAGCTTACTCAGTCTCATCTTCTAAGAAGGTAAAAGGGTAAACATATCAAAAGTACATGCAGCTTACATGTTGCCTAGAGAGAGAGAGAGGCAAAATGTGCATCCTCACTGAATGGAGGAAAAAGGCAGAGAGGTGGCAAATGGCCAAAGGCCACATGGCCTAGCCCAGGGCAAAAACCATAAATTTCAAATGGAAGTTCCCTACAGGCATTCCATTTGTTACAGCTTCAAAGGGGGAAAAGAGAGCAAGAAGAAAGCATGCGTAGGAATGGGGGGGGGGGGGAAGGATCCCTCATTCTAATCCTATCTTTACTCTAGCTGGTTTTGACCTACAAAACCCTTTACGGTTCCGGTCCAGTGTATCTATCCGAATGTATCTCCCTCTACGTCCCACCCCGGAATTTGAGATCATCTGGGGAGGCCCTGCTCTCGACCCCACCGCTATCACAAGTGAGGCTGGTGGGGACGAGGAGCAGGGCCTTCTCAGTGGTGGCCCCTCACCTGTGGAACTCACTCCCGGGGGAAATTAGGGCATCAACATCCCTCCTCTCCTTCAGGAGGAAGGTAAAGATGTGGTTGTGGGACCAGGCCTTTGGGCATCCTGACAATTAGATATGGAAACCAGATGGATAGGACCGACAATTTGTGGAAATTGGAATTTAAACTATGAGACTGTGAAACGCTGACCATCAATGAGGTTTGTATTGGTTTTATTCCTTTGATTGGTTTTTTGGTTGTTTTTGCCTATAATAATTATTGTTTTCTGTTAATTGTTGTTATTGCTAGAATTGCTGTCTTCGTTAACTGATGTTATTGTCTATTGCTGTTATGTGATGCGGGCATCGAATTGTGCCTTGTTTTTTGTAATCCGCCCTGAGTCCTTTTCGGGGTGAGAAGGGCCGGGTAGAAGTAACCGAAATAAATAAATAACAAGGTCTTGATCCTTCTCTGCTAAAAAAAAAAGGCTGTATGGGTTATTTAAGTTTCTACCTTTGGTTATTTTTTGTCTGTTATTAAGTTTAAAGTTAGGTCGCTTAGGTATTGGTTGATCTGATCTGTTTTGATGTAATTTGTTTCCGTTTTTCCTTGTTGGCATTGAATGTTTGCAATATATATGGTGGAAACCACCAAGAGGCCCTTCCAGGAGATAGGATGGTCTGCAAATATGTTGTTGTTGCTGCTGCTGCTATTGTTATTATTATTATTATTATTATTATTATTATTATTATTATTATTATTATGCCTCAGCAAACTACAAATCTCATGTTTGCATAGCATTGTGCCAAGGCAAATAAATTAGAGATGGTGCCTTTCAAATAGATGCAGCTCCAGATGCAACTTCCCCTTTGGCTTCTTCTCAGCACTAAGATGACCACATTCTGTGAATCTAATGCGCACCCTAATGTTGTGACGGTAATTTAGCCCAAAAAGGTGAGTACTAGATTCGGGTAAATAAAGTCCTTCTTGGGCCGTGAACCCAGGAAGACATTTTCTGGATCTTGAAGGCTTTGCTGTCTTGTTCCAAGGCTCAGCACGGAATTGTTTGTCAGTTGTCACGGGAAGTGTTGACTGTCAGTCCTTCACATGTCACTCTGATGGGAAACTTGTAAAGAAACAAGATGTGATCGCAGCCCCGCCTAGCAAGGCAAAGACTATTTTCCCTGTTGACTGCCCGCAAAACCCACTCCTTTAAACCCACGCCCGTTGACTCTATATGCTTGAGATATGCTTCTTGGCACTGGTCCAGCCTGAGTGCTAATGACAAGCTTGCAGGCCTGTAAATGTTACTTTGCCTTAGTTGGAGCATTCCCTCTGGCAATGTTGGCAAGACTTTGACCTACGCCCCGTTCAGAGAATGTCACAGTGACCCAGGTTAAGCCGCACCGCTAAGTGGAACATGCTTAAAATGCCATCGCACGTGATGTGGGAGCTTCTCGCCATGTCACTTTCCATGGCAGTGGGCTGATGCAAGTCTCCATCCTGCAAACGGCATAGAAGCCAAGGAACCCAACCAAACTCTGCTTGAAGGAGGATGAAGGAGACACAAGATACAGGCATAACAAAGCCTTGGGCGGTTCCCATTGAAGAAGGCCTCTAGAAATGAAAGCCGTACTTAATAGGATTATTATATTGATCAACCCAATGGCAAAATTAGTCTCTAGGCAAGTCTCTTGTGTCATCAAGTCTCCAGACCTCACAATTTTATTTATTTATTTATTTCGGTTGCTTCTACCCCGCCCTTCTCACCCCGGGGGGGGGGGGGGGACTCAGGGCGGCTTGGATCGAAGCAACCGTCAATGTAATGACATGAATTATTTATTGCAGGAGTTAATGACCTTGGGGAAAACCGGATGAAGACTAAGCATGTTCCACTTAGCGGTGCGGCTTAACCTGGGTCACTGTGACATTCTCTGAATGGAGCTGCATCTATTTGAAAGGCACCATCTCTAATTTATTTGCCTTGGCACAATGCTATGCAAACATGAGATTTGTAGTTTGCTGAGGCATAATAATAATAATAATAATAATAATAATAATAATAATAATAATAACAATAGCAGCAGCAGCAACAACAACATATTTGCAGACCATCCTATCTCCTGGAAGGGCCTCTTGGTGGTTTCCACCATATATATTGCAAACATTCAATGCCAACAAGGAAAAACGGAAACAAATTACATCAAAACAGATCAGATCAACCAATACCTAAGCGACCTAACTTTAAACTTAATAACAGACAAAAAATAACCAAAGGTAGAAACTTAAATAACCCATACAGCCTTTTTTTTTTAGCAGAGAAGGATCAAGACCTTGTTATTTATTTATTTCGGTTACTTCTACCCGGCCCTTCTCACCCCGAAAAGGACTCAGGGCGGATTACAAAAAACAAGGCACAATTCGATGCCCGCATCACATAACAGCAATAAAACAAAATAACATCAATTAACAATTAACAACAATTCTTGCATTACAACCATAAAACCAATAAAACCAATACAAACCAATTTCTCCTCATTGACGGTCAGCGTTCACTATCTCATAGTTCAAATTCCAATTCCACAATTGTCAGTCCTGTCAGTCCTAATCGTCTGATTGTCCTTATCTAGTTGTCAGATTGCCCAAAGGCCTGGTCCCACAACCACGTCTTTACTTTCCTCCTGAAGGAGAGGAGGGATG